AGCCCCCTTTACTTGGTGCGATAATGTTACTTTTGTAGATAAATCATACGGAACTATGTTCCATATAATTCATCTCATCTGTATCTTCTAAAGTCATTGTTTTGTGAGGTTACAGAGTTTAAAACTCTTCTCCTGAAAAACTAAATTTTTGCATAAGTGACAGTGTCGCACCGGGAGTGCGATATTATGTTTAACGCAATGGAATATTTGTGTTAATTCAACAAGACTTACGAGTATCATGTTAATTTCTGCTGAAATACTTTTTGGGAAGAAAGTTGTCATTAAGTTTGATTTGGCACTTGATAATTGTTTCTTTTTATGTTCACTGCCATTTGCGTGATGTTTAACGTCGCTCAATCCACCGTGACTTATGGAAAAATCTTTTTGACAAATCTGGCATCGTGCATGAAAAACTGAATTAGCCTTGGATACCCATGGATTAATTTTTATTCATTCATCACGAAATTTGCACAACAGCTTTGCTTTTTTTGAGTGTACAATAAGATGTTTCCCCACTGCCCTATCGCCACAGTTGTCAGACTCACTCATTGCGGTAAAATATTTTATGAAAGAAAGCATAATAAAATGTCATGCCATGCAATCTATCGGGCACGATCCATTGGGTACACTGTAAATTGGGAAGTCTAATCGCTAAGTAAGTATGACTAAGTTTAATATATGATCAAATTTTGCAGAACTCATTCTGAAGTAGTTCAAACTGCATAGTTTGTCTCGTAGAAACATATTTTTTCACCTAACATTTTCTTTTTTTGTTTTATTGTTTACGCCCGCAGTTAAAGTAAGGGCTATGCCAATTTTTTGGTACTTTGTGAGTGCAGGAGCCATCCTTTCAACGCCACGTTTGCATGCCAACTGAGTTAGGGAGGCGATCTAGTCAGTGTTGCTACCTTGGATTTTTTAAGGCGCTAGATCGAAAGTAAAATAGCGCCAGATTTCATACATTTTGATAAAAATAAAACCACCAAATACCGCTAAATTAATATATTATCTCAGAATAAAAGAAACATTGCAGACTAGTGTTATTAAGATTAGTTATAATTGCTTTAACTAAAAAGTAACCATTTCGTATAAAATAGTTGTATCTAGTGCAATTTTTATAAATTATAAAAAAATTACGTATTTAAAAAATGTAATCTACTTATTAATATAGATATAACTTGACTTAATAAAATGTTAATATTTAGTAAAATAAAACAAAAGAAATAAAAAGCATAAATCTGTTCATTCATTTGTACCTAATCAGTAAAGAATCAATGTTTAAAAAAAAAATTAAAATGAAAATTCTAAATTATCAAACGGTATCTTCTATAACTTCATCATCATCCACAGACGCCGACTGTACTATCGCTGACGTCGACGCCGATGCTGAAGGTGGTGTTGTTTGAGGTTCGTTTTTGTATGAGTACTTTATATTTTTGCCAATGGCTGTAATGACATCATTTGGTAATTCATAATTATAACATTTGATATTAATAACTTTTAGTTTATTTCTTATAAATATTATAGCATTGAGTAGTGGACTAGCCATCCTATTCCGTAGCTTGTTTTTTACTATGTTCATGATACTGAATATTCTTTCGATACTCGCATTAGAATGGGGTAAAGTTAATGCAGATATGGCAAGATCGACTAGTTCTCCAAAGACGTTTACTCCAGATGCGTTTCTGTACTCATCTACCTCGACCCAAAATTTTATTACATCTTTTGTATTTTTCCACTGGACAAAACAGATGTTGTGCCATTGGGTTAATATCTTGTCAATGTCACTTGCATTATAGCCAAGTTCTTTAGCTAGTTCTGAAATTGAGTTGTCCTTATCTTGGCAAAGAATTGTCTCTGGGGACAATCTAGACATCAACTCCAGGACAGTATAATTAGTAGGCAGTCCTTGTTGAATTTCTTTTGCTAGTTTCACATTAAATTCAATACAGCGACGTTTTATGGCTGATACAGCATCAGGTCTTAATGCTGTTCTGGCACTTTCCGATTCAAAGAGGTATCCTGTGTATGGGACTGGGTTAAGGTTTTGTTCTATGTCAATATTTAGAAAATCTTTATCTGTGATGGCTACGTTCGGTAACAGTATCCTGTTGCAAATTGATCTTAATAGTGTTATCAACAAATTTAATTATTGAAGTGGATTTGAACTTTCGCTTTCAAAAGTCTTTACAGTAATTTGCAAAAAGTTTAATATACTTTTCAAAAATAGTAAATACTAATAAATCGACTCGTCCTTATACATAGAATATAATGACTCTGAAGTGTAGCATCGATCCCGGACTAGCCCGAAATGTAGGGTCAGTTCTTTCCATTGTGTAATAATTCTTTACACTGCCGGTTCAATAGACAGCCAGCGTGTGTCACATACCTGTAAAATTTTCAGCGGTGCTTCACCGCAATTAATAGTTACATAAATTTTTTGGTATTCATTTTGTCGTTTTGTAGAGTGGGCAAACCAATTATATGTTTCCCTAATCAAGAATTCTATGTTTCTTGGTAGCGTCTGTTCTGACGCATGAGACACTGCATGCTGTAAAGAATGGCAAGTGCATCTGATAAGAATTAAATTTGGTATATCAGTTTTCAATATTTTGTACACTCCATTATTTACACCAGTCATGACTGAGGCATTATCTGTTCCCAATCCAACCATTTTACTTTTATCTAGACCATATTTTTGTAAGCAAGAAAGAAGAGATTCAAGAATTCCGACTGCATCGCTGGATTTCAGTGGTTCTAGAGCAGGAAAAGATGAAACACTTTTTTTAAGTTTTCGACTGAAATACCTGATTACAATACCTAGTTGCTTGCTCGTAGTGATGTCGGTTGATTAGTCAATGATAAGACTGTATTTCTGTCCTCCTATATCCTTCATTAATTCTTCACCGAAATGTGGCGCGAAAACATTCTTAATAACTTCGGTACACTTGGTACGATGCATTTTTAGGTCGTCCGTTGCTTTGGAATCAGAGGAAGTCGATTTTACTAAATCTATTAGATGATCAATACAGGAAACTGAACTGTGTTCTGTAATGTATAGAGCGAGCATTCCTTCAGCTTGGCGAGATTTTGGGTTTGTAAACTTTTCGCCAGACGCGAATTGAATCGTTTTATTGGCGGATATAATTTTTATTTTTTGTTTGTGTTTTTTTGTTTCAGCATGTCTCCTTAAGTCTACTAATTTTGCTAATAATTCTGCTTTACAAAATGAGCAAAATCCCTTCCTATCATCACCAGGTAAAGGGTTAAGCCAAGTCTTGAATTCATCTGATGATTCCCACTCTTTTCTATACTTTTGAGTGTTTTTTTCTTCAATGGAAATTCCGTTATTGGTTTTTATTTGATGGTTATGGCAGCTAAGAGTGGTGGTGGTGGGGCAGCTAGTAACAGCGGTGGTGATGATGGTGGTGGCAGTTAGTGGTGTGGTGGTGGTGCTAGTGATGAAGGAAGTCTTGGTGATTATGATAGCTATACGAACATCCCACTTCACTTCTTCGTTCATTATCAAAACAGCAAGGGAATGGAATGCGGGAATGAAAACCAGCTGCGGTGTTCCCATTAAAATACAATGCACATATATTTAAGGTTAGATGTAAACCTATAAAATATAAAAAAGTGGCAGCTAGTAGTGGTTGAAGCAGCTAATCTTCGTGATGATAGTAATATTCTGTGCCAAAATTTCCACAAGTGCATTGTGAAGTGTCATACTGTGTATTTTTTAATCCCTGATTGGTTAAGTGAAAAAGAGAATGGTTCTACGAGATGTTATAAAAACAATGCACACTAGATATATTATTTCTGCTTATACAATGTAGCCATACTGTTTATAACATACCTGTTTTTTTTGTAGTTTCAGTTGAAGAAGATGTTAATTGGCTAAAGAATAACAATGAGCCATGGAGCGAAGTAATATTAAAATGGAATATAACTAGTCAGTATCGCCATGGAAAAGATTATGAAAGTATAACAACATTTATGAATGAATGGCAATTGTTATATTTGCCCAAAGCAATTGAACTTGTAAGTAGTTGTTCACACTTAGTTGTTGCACATTTCACCAAAAAGACTAAAGAATTATCACAATAGATAGGTGAGTTTACTTAAGTAATCGAGACAGCTGCTAAAAATTGGATGACTCCTTTTCATCGCATAATGTCACTGTTTTTGAAAATTTAAAATTAATGCTACTTAACACAATTTTGATGTGTATTTTTCTAGAGATTCCTCTTGCCATCTTGAAGATAAATGGATATTATTGCACTACACATTAGTTGCAGCAAATGTCTGTAAAAAAACGTAAGGCATAATTATAAATAGTATAATTGGTTCAAGGCTGAGCATGACTTTGTATAACATTTACTTCTTATCTTGTAACATTTTTTTTTAATAGTTAATTTGTGCAATCAAAGGTTCTAAGGCTGGGTACAGTCAGACGAAAACCTTACTGTACTCAGATACTAACTTTTTGTGTGGTATACAACTTAAGGCAATGCTTCTGATGCAACAAATGTGATGTACCTTCAACTGAAAACTTTCCCCGAGGAACAAGTTTAAAAAGAAATTATTGGTAAAAATTATAGTATTGACCATACACAACATTCTGGATCTGCTGATCAATTAGTATAAAAATTTAAATAAATTATATTATTTATAAACATATTTTCCTTGGGAAAAGTTGTTCTGTTTCAAGCTGCAATGTGTATGTTTTTTCTTAAAACCTTTACAAAGGGTATGCATGAGAAAACTCAAAGCAGGTTTAAGTGTATACAATATTTTTTTATGCGTAGCGTTTTACAGAATAGTCAGCTTAACAGTTATTTTTTTTGTCTCAGAAAATTTTAGACCTAGGATAGGTCATGGCTGTCATTGAAGGCCATTAAACATTGTTATATTTTCTTAACCTCTTCATCTTAACACGAGGTTAAGAAAATATAACAATTAATAACTTTTTATGAAAATATAAATAAAAATAACTTGTTATGAACGCTAAATTAATAGAGTTGGTTTGTTTATAAGTAGTCATTAGGTTGACTTGCAAGTGAAAATGATTGGGTTTTATGTGCGTTAAAAAATTGTTGTGTATGGACGCTAGTAATAATAAATGGATAATTATGGAATGCTAAAATGTTGGTTGTATAAAGCCATACTCAAAATTTTTGATAGTGTAATATTATGAACAATTCTTTCAGATTGATGAAGATTTTAAAAATTTATATCCAGGAAAAGAAAAGGAATTCGAAAATAAGTGGCAAAAGTTTTTTTATAAACTGATAGAATTAAAAAAATCAGAAATAAGAACTGATGATTGTAAAGAAAAATTATTAACTTCACTATCTTCTATGACAGATGATGGTAAGAAAATGGTAGTATTTAATCGTAGACCAAAATATATTATGAAAAGTATTTCGATTTTCCACCAAAAATATTCATTGCACATCAAAAATCCTTACACTTTTATTGTACTTGTCTATAAAGCATTTTGTGTCATTGTATTATCAAAATATAAAATATATTATCAGTTTGTTTTCTTTCAGAGCATAAAATTCCATCGCAACTAAGATTGATGATTCATTTGGTGCCCCCTAAAGGCAGGAGCAGTCAAAAAAAGAAGTTTTCTATTCAAGAATGTATGGATAGTCTTATAATAATAGTAGAAGTAAGTACTATAATATTATTACTAGTACTTGGCGGGTGTTTCTGGTAGTGGGGATGGCAGCGGGGGTGGTGGCATTGACAGTTGTAGCGGTGTTTATTGTGGTGGTGGTAGGTTTTTTATTTCATTAGGACAGCAAACAAGTTGACAGCTCACCTAATGGAAAGCAGTCACTGCCGCCGCACTTTCAGCTTTGAGTCCTTCAAGTGCGTTCTCTACCCTGGGACTTAGAATAGAATCAAAAAACATCTCATATTGATTATACACTCTGCTTTATAGATAAATCTTTATTTTCAGAATCCTGGGGATCTCACAAAAACCATAGAAGATCAAAAAATAAAAGCAAAAAAGTTCCCTGTTCAACCATATATAATATTATTAGGCAGCCTACAGGACGTCAAGCAATTGTACTTAGTGATAGATGAAATAAGGTATACGTTTGTGTCTCCTTTAAAGGCTTTTGACACATTGTTTAAGGTTTACCATGTTTTTAATGCTAAATATCCGAAATCAAGCGACCATATATTATTAATAATACAAAGATGTATGATGACAACGTCGTGCCTTACATTACCGATGCATTGTTATTGTAACAAATTTATATTTAAGATGGATATTTAGTTTAAAAAAAAATTTCACAAAAAATTAAGTTTATAATTTTTCTATTGATAGTATTACTCTAGATAACATCATGGTAAAATTATCTACGATAAGACTCAATAGAAAAATGCTTAAGCATTCTTCGCCTGGCCTACGCTGACCCTAAAATTATGAGCTATATTGAATAGAATCACACCTTCATTAAAACTAAAATTTCTAGGAATAAAATTATAGAAGTTATTGAATTAAAATAAACTACATTGACTGAATTTCACACAGTCTCATTTAAAAAAAAAACAATATCGTCTGGGTGAAACAACTAGACGTTTGTAGGAAACCTGTCGTGTTTAGAATCAAAACATTTGCGGCATTACTTTAATTTACTAATTCTTGTATCAAGACTTATGTGTTTAAATTCAAGATAATAGCATTATTGAATCACAGTTAATTTATTTGATACAATTTTGATTTTCTCTCTAATAGAATAAACGGTTCTCTTTGCTGAAGATTACATATTTTCTAGTAAACACAGGGTTCTCTAAAACCTATACGTTATGATTTTACAAAAATATTATCTTATTTTAGACAAAAATAATGTTCATATAAATGAAAAGACGCTAATTTTAGAACATAGTACACATATTCAAATATAAAAAAATCATAATATAGAATTAAGAGAATCATTCTTTTGATTCGTCTGACACATTCTCTTGAATTAAAATTTCATTCTCTTAAAAGGACTGCATCTAATCTTGTGTCATATTATATGTTCTCTAGAATAAAAATTATTTAATTTTTAATTGAATATCTGACAATTTAAATGAAATTGAAATTAATCAACAGAAATACAGCAATTTTACAGATGAAGTAAATGTTTACTAATACCAATAGTCTTTGACATTTTGGTCTATGCAATTACTAGTTTCTTGGAACAATCTTTCAAGTTTTTATTGCTTCAAAAGAATATTATTTACACTTAAGGTCATATTTTTAAGACAACCGAAATCTGGAGAGAAAACAACCATGATTTCGGATATATATGATTTAATATTTTTTTGATTTGATGGAGGTTATTTAGCACGAAGAAATTAGTTTTTACCGTGTATGTTGGAAGCCTCTCAACCGGCATGACTTTCGTGCCAAACTATGCAAGTAACTGGATCGGGAGATTGCTTATTGATAGGAGAAAAAGTAAGATTTAATGTAATTAATCGACTTATAAAAAACAGCTTCTTTAATTTGGGGCATAATAGTCAGCAAAATTACTTTTTGTAAATCCATTGAAAAATACTTAACATGCTTAGAATTATTGTGTCGCATCAATTTTGTAATTTTCGAGAGCTTGATCAGATTTAGTTTTATGTACCGCAAACCTTTGCTTTAGATCGTCTGGCATAACAGATTCATCCGTGTACTTTTTTTTTTCTTTAAATAAAAAAGACTTTCATCGCATTTGTCTCCTCTTGGTATGTTAAACGAACTTTAATTTTTTTTTAATCTCCTTCTTGTAAGTTTCATCAGAACATTTGGCTTCCGGGTATTTCCTCTTAAAATTGCTGTGCATTTCGCATATAGTTAGTTCTCACGGCAAGTATTTTGTGAACGGTAAATTATGTCTACGATGGTGACTGACAGCAGGTTTGTAACTAAGAATATGTTCTTGGAGTAAATTTTTGTAAATCTCTTTTCTTTTTCCGCCTCTTTTTTCACCAGCCAAAGATGCATATAATCGATCCTTTTTTTAAAGCTTTTGATAATTCAGTTATAAATCCATCAGTTCTCAATCCAAGTGTATCTAGAAAAAAACGCTTACAAACGAGAACCAAATCTTCTCGTGATAGTAACGTGTTTTGTTTCTAGACGGAACAGCAGAAGTAGTATCGATCTTACGTCTTTTTATTTCTGCCAATTGAATAAATTTATTTAAAAATGATCTCCTTGCCTGAAATTTTAAATTCCAATACTGTTCCCAAATAGCCAGTCTGTCCTGCTCTGAAAATTTTAAACATTGTCTCTTACACTTTCCATCGCAGAGCCTACGTAACATAGGTTGCTTCATCATGTTTATTTTTGAAGATGCTATCGTTGGGAGCATTATTCGAAATAAAAATTGGTCCGGGATATTACACAATAAGAATTGGTCCTATGTTCTCTGTAATATCAGTCACTGGCAGAATGTATTATTTTGTTTTTTGATGTGGCGTAATCATACAGGTACGGGAATTTGTATCATCGCACGAAGCTATATTCTCGCTAAAATCTGTGCTCTCATGGATCTGCGACAGAGTCATCGTCACTAAAGTCGATAAACTCATCAAGGTAAGATGTTTCTGTAAGGGATTCAGAGTGCATACCAGAACAAGAAGGTTGTGATTGTGCATAGTGGTTGGTAACATGAGTCTTAGAAGCAGAAGTACTCGTGCATGGTTTTGGTTATATACCAAAAGGCGTGGTATTATTAGTTGCAAAAGTGCTAGAGAGAGAGAGAGAGAGAAAGCAAAACGCACACATTATTTCACGCGTAATAATAAATAACGTCAGACCGGAGAAGACATGAGTCCACAGGTTAACTTTTGAGCCTCAGTTTTAATTGTTATGTTGATAGCAATAACCTCATGCGTATATAACGTGCCGATATTGACTTACTATTCAAATTCAAAAGCCTAGTACGTTCAATTTGCAAATTCAAAAACCTAGTATGTATAGTATTTGATAGGATTTTGAACTTGGAAATGTTAATTACTAGCTTTTTCATTTTGTAACCTCCTAGTTCGAAGGACACTTACTAGGTTTGAGCATGTTCAAAACTTTGATTCTGTATAAGATAGAAATATAGTTGTTTTTGGTATAGACGTAGCAAAAAATTTTGGAAATATTGGTTTAAGAAAACGAGTTTGAATAAAAATTTTCCTTGCTAGGTTTTGGTTTCGGACAGCTGCGATACTGAGGGTACAGGTAGTACAGATACCATATTTGGTACTGGTATCGCACCAAGGTCAATGGTACCGGTTCCCATAAATACCGGTATTTCAAGCCTTGGTTGTAAATCTTGACAAATTTGCTGACTTTGTTTCATGATTTCCGGTACTACTGATGTATTTATAGGTGATTAATTAATTGGAGTTAAATAACGAACTATTTGTTTTGGATGATTATTAAGCTATTGAAACCGGTGTTGTTCCCGACAAATTTGGGGCTGCCGTATTCTAATTCTAAAATTGCCGGATTTTTAGGTAAAATTGAAAAAAAATGCCATATTGTGCAAAATTTTTATTTGTAACGTTTAAATAAAAAAAAAACAAGTAATGTATAGATACAAAAAAACAACTAGAAGTACTAGAAACTATTCAAAACAGTAGGTAGTATAGGTATGTATATGCATGTACCTACTACTGCTCATCTTCACCATAAAGGTTTTGATTAGTTTCTAGTACTTCTGATTCATGCATGCATGCATGCATGCATGTAGGTCATACTCTTTTTTATCTTTCATTTTACGAATCATTTCGTTTGGTACTTTAAATTGAGTACAATTGCCGTGATTACGGATTGCTTGTCTTGCTAGGACAGTTCCATTAATAGTTGGAGTTATTAATTTATTTCGAAGTCTCGTTTTCATATTATTTACTTCACTGAAGATACGGTTGCAGTCTGCGTTCGAGTGTGGCAAACACAATACATTTAAAGCAAAAGATGCTAATGTTTTTAGTTCTGTTCCATCACGAATTTTAATCCAAAACTCATCGGTTTTTAGTGAACTAATTTCATATAATGATAATTTATTTACCACTGGTAGCATTCTCCATTCATCATCAATTCTTTGGAGATCGTCGGCGTTATTGGCGATTCTTGGCAACTTTTGCATAAGCGGTAAAATTGATGGATAAACGTTTCTTGTTTGATTATTAACTGCTTCTTCAGGTGATAAATATTTTATAAGTTGAAGTAAATCGTCAGAGAAGTCGTACCTCTTTTTATTTCCTTGCAGCCTGTAATGAGAAATCTCTGCAGCTAGTGTAAAACTTTTTTAATTGTTCTTTTTTGCTGATTGTTGTGTTTGTAAACACTAAAACTATTGCGTAGGTGAATTGAATAATTACAATTAGTAATGCACATTATTCTTATTAATTAATTAATCACGCTTCACAATTTACGTTACAATTCTTATGTAATCTAATAGGACAGCCATTATAAAGGATAGACAATCTATTGATAATCTTGCCATAGAATGTAACTCCTGATTTGAGTTGTCATGGACATAGTACGTAACACACCCCCTTGCTGTATATAAGGTTTGCTGCTCATCAAAATATCGTATTATAATGCACATGGTTTTCGTGGCTGAAATATCCGTTGATTCATCGACCAATATGCTAAATTTATCTTTTTTAATAATTTCTTTTAAATAATCTTTTTGGAAATCATCAATAATATTTTTAACTACAGACGTACATTTTTTTCGTTTTATGGCAACATCGGCAGCAATATTGGAGTCAGGGAAACAAGATTTTAGTACCTCTGCTAAATGATCCATGGCCATAAATGAAATCTTGTGCTCTGCGACGAAGGCACTAAGTTTTATTTCTGCTTCGTTAACTTTTCTACCATGATTCGATTGTCGGTTTTGAAAATACGTGCTAACGTCTCTTGTAGAAGAGCTCGCTGATGCTTTTCTTACGTGCTGGGTGTTTGGAACATGACGTTTTAAAGTTGAAATTTCGCAAGAAAGTTTTACGTCGCACATTGTACATTTTGCCAGGTAGGGGTCATCATTAACAGGGGCAATCCAATTCCTAAATGTTTCATCACTTTCCCATTGCTTTCTGTACTT